CCACCTTACCCCCTACCTCCTTATGCTCGCCCATCTTAATATCAGCATACGCGGCGTTGCCCCAATCAGTTCCTAGAATCGTGTCAAAAGGAAGGCTATTCTCCACTAAGAGTGTTAGGGAGCGCAATTTTTTTTCCACCTTACCCCCTACCTCCAACCGGAAGTATGCCTTGACCCTTCAACATACTCGCATACTATCATCTCTCAGTTATCGGCCAACTTACTCATCACTGGCTCATCCAATTTCTTTACTTTCATTCCAAGGTGCATCTTATGCGACCCTCTTCTGGTAATGTAGCTATGCGTTGACCCCATGTCTACTAACACGCCTATCATTTCTCTACTTACTTCTATATCTGCTATTATTAGTTGCCATTTCGGCCCAAGCGCGGCGACGAGTGATCAGCTCATCACCAATGCTTGCGAGGGAGCCACCTAGAGACGTCCTAACACAAGCAACCTCTAGACAACTAGCTAGGTGGGGGCCTACAACAATCTCTGCCATTGGGATCTTCGAACAGGAGGGTTCCTTTTCAGCGCGCACTTCTATCTTCTTGTCAGAGTCCGAAGTCCCTGTAGAGACAACTGCAACCTCTACTCGCTATTCCCTTTTGGGTACCTGCACTTTGGGCAGAAGGGGAGTACGTGGTCCAGATCACCACACTTAAAACATTGGTGAGCCTTGTGACGCTCTTCCCAGACCTTCTCATCTATACCCATTTCCTCCCAAGGTTTTCCCTCAGCTATCCCTAGGTGTGTTGGGTACGACCGTCAAATCCTATCTCTTCCTCCACCCCTTGTGAAGGGAGAACCTATACCACCTTGCGAGGGACCATACCCCCTACCTCCCGCATAGGAGCTACCTTCACCACTACCCCTCTGGGCAGCGGGTCCTCGACCTCCACCTCTACCCCGACCTCTACCCCGACCTCTACCTTGTCGCCCTCCCCCACGGGCTGCAACTGCCGCATAGTCCCCTTCCTGGGCTACTTGGCTGTTGTTTTCTTCCTCTAGACAAAAATCTATCTGGTCATATGATAACGACTCTACACCTCCGTCTTCAAAGGTGACCAGGATATTATCCTTACCTTCTATACTGCCGGATATGATCCTATTCTTCCACCTCTTACCAGCCTATAGGTCCTTCCAATAGTGGCAATAGTTTGCCGCTTGGAGGAATCCGACGTGGTCCATTGTTATCTTACTGAAGTTTTCACAAGTCATTGCCTCCTCTTTAGTGCGGGGATATAACACGGTCTTAAGAGGTTCCGACAACGCTCTAGCGAAGTTGTTAAGAATCTGAGCGGGGAGGGCGCGAACATTGCATCAGCTCGTCCATAGTGGCCTTGAGTGTCCGCGCACTCTTCCACTTGCGGTTACTAATGAGGTGCTCTGCGTGGCGAGCTAGGTTCTTGTCCTTGAACCGGTTTTTCAAAGCCTTGAAGAAGTCCTTTATCCTAGTTCGTTGCAAGTATTGCACCATCAAGGTGCATCCGTCCTCCTTCACTAGCGAAATGGCGAAGCTTGCTGCATCTCCTCCTAGGCACGAACTTGCCATGAGTACGCGATCCCAATACGGAATCAACTGCGAGTACAGGTATGTGTCCATCGCCGCCTTCAAATGAAAAATGCTCTCCTCCCTCTTCCTAGTATATGTCCAAGGGACCTTAACCTTCATCTTCTCCCTTCGTTCTCCACCCTCCGACTTGTCTCCCTCTTTCTTTCCATCATCCTTCCTGCAACCTTTCCCTTTCTTGTCATCATCCCCATCGTAGCCACCATCTCCACAACCACCACGGCTGCCTACCTTAACCGCAGCGATAGTGTTTGCCATCTTATGGGTGAAGAGATCATCTAGTCGGTGAGCGTAGTCCAATATCATTTTGTCTATCCGGTAGGACGAAACGCTGAGGAAATTGTTCCAGGTGCTCTAGAACTCTTCGTGGTGCAACTCGATCTTCCCTACATTCTTTTGTAGTGCATTGAGCTCAAGGGTGGTGTGCACTAAAGTATCTATTAGGAGAGTAAGAGTATCCTTCACTTCCACTTCTTGGCCCTTATGTTCCCTTAGTGCCTTTTGAAGTCTCACTCCTTCCTTCAACCTCTTTTTTTCTCCATATCTTTTCCTCTTTTGGGCAAGGAAAGGATTGTGGAGTGCACATGCCGCCACCTTCGCCATAAAAGCTTCTCTTTCAGCATCTGTCTCTGGTGGCAGCTCGGTATGAAACCTAAAATTTTCCACCCAATCCTCATCCTCCACCTCCATGAACCTCAGTTCACCAGCTCGGCTGGTTTCTGCAACTTCAGCCCCTGTTCCTCCCACAAGTCTTCTTCTTCTTCTCTCCAACCTTCTCCCTCTTCTTCTTCCTCGTCTTCTTCTAACTCTTTTTTCAGTACTTCTTCCTTCTTCTTCATCTCTTTCTCCATCTTTTTTTTCTCCTCCTCCATCTCCTTCCTTTCCTGCTCCAAATTTTCTTTTATCTCCTCCTTTTTCTCTCTCTTTTTCTCCTCCTCTTTCTTCTTCTCTACCACCTTTCAGGCAATTTTCAGCTACTGTTCTGCTATGTATGGCTGCATGGACCCACCAGACCGCATGGTAAACCGCATGGTAACCACAAGTTCGGTGGAACCCCAATGGAAACAGGAAACGGACGAGTGGACCTTATAACACGGACAAGGTCAACATTGCGAACATCGGGTAGTCATACATGGTTTGCTAAAGGCACACGTAAGTAGCCTCCGTCTCCTCACCATGCAGACCTCACCCTCAACACTTAAACTATCTAGTCTAAATTGGAGTCTGACCTATCTGAGTTCTTCCCTCCCCACAACGTCACTACAACTACCCTGTCAGGCTGGTGGGCAACCAGTAGCTTAAGGTCGTACAACAAGAACCTCAGGAATTCTTTAACGATGTAGACAGGACGTCATGCCCACAAGGACCTAAAGGCTCACTCTCAAGACTTGCAGCTCCTCACTGCGTCAACACCGGTTTGGTCGCAATCCAAATCAGTACCGGGCTTAGGGCTAGACGAGTTGTTTTATGAGCGCTCGTCGCTCATGACCATGCTCCCTACTTTCTGCTGATACATCCAGCTGCCGAGCTTCTATCCTAAACACAACCTACTATATGCACGTGTCTGACCAGATGCTGACTCAAGACAAAATCTGGTATGTCACCAAGTGTTTTGTACAGCAGCAGCGACACCAAGATTTGGGAAGCTACCATGACACTCATTAATTCATTAAAGCAAATGCAGGGCTTAAGGGGGGGATACACGTCACTTGTGAACGTTCCTTCGGTGAAGCTCCTCGGCGCTCCCCGCATGCAGGTACGTCATCATCATCGCCCCAACCTGACCACTTCTTCTTCGGCTGGCAGCCCCAATGTCAGACTCCAAACCTCCCCTCACCGGCCTTAATCTTGCCAGCGTTCATCATCAGCGGATGCAGAGAGTTCCATCTCGGATACGAATAGCATTGAGCCTCACTGCTCGTCACCTTGAGCACACACACACATTGAGAGATCTCACGAAATACACATTGGAGACCAGAGATGCAAAGTCCAGAATAGCGCAGCTTAGAAAATCCAACAAATTATCATAGTAAACAGTTTCAGAGTTCAGTCATCAGGCGCTCAACAACGCAGAGTTCAACAACCCATATCCAACATCCTCATCTTCTCTCTCTCTGTCCTCCTCATGCATGCACTCAACCCCCTCTCACTCTCTCTACTTAAGATCTTGACTCTAGATACATCCGCTACTACTCAGGTCTATTCCCTACTACTAGCTGAGAAGCTATGGCCGCCTCCCTTCCTCAGCACAATGCTGCCCAGCAGGGCTCTCGCGCACTCCACTCGCAGGTAGTGCACAAGCGCTTCAACAACACTTCCACACCTCACATGAATGAGTAATCTACCTGAAATGTGGCTGGCCGGTCCTTGCATTGAATTGGACTGGGTCTGGTCTCGTCCCAGCCTCTGCTTCCTTTGGCTTGACTTGGAGCCAATACCACATGCCCACGACCTGTTTGCTTCAGAATATCGACCCTAGGATCTGAATTTGGGGTCTGCAGCGTGGAATGCCTTTCAAATCTGTGGTCGATAATTTCCTTTTCCCTTTCGTTTTCAAAGAGAAAAAGGTTTCCTTTTCATCAGCTCCCTGCCATTCAAAGGGGGGGTCGTTCCACTTCCATTTACACGTCTGAATTAATAATATAAGCACTCATGGCTTGGTGATCCTATCTTGTCTTTCCCAACACCCATCCTTTGCGTGTCTGCCTCTATTTTTCAAGTTGACAGCTCATTTGCCCTTTGTTGTACGTACATACCGCAGGCTCTTGCACAAGTGATGAGGTTCTCTCCCTCAACCACTAGTGACCTCTTCATCTTTTGCTGCTTGCACTCGCTCTTGGTATTTTCAGATTCCTCCAGCCTTCTTATATGTGCTTTAACATGTCCACCCTGCCCTGGGGGCTTCATTGTCCTCCCTTTCTTGTTTTTGCTGCTGGGTGTTAAACCATGGTCTGACTTCTCTGCTACAACTCTTGAATACAAGATCACCTGCCTCCAAATGTGCCATTTCACCTTTGCCCAAGATGGAATGATAACGACTTTTCTTGATCTTTTACGCCTTGATTTGTTGTTTAGTCCTCCTCCATTTTACTCCCACGCTACTCTCAACTACATCCGTTGTTCGCTTCCAGGTCTAGTCTTCTGACTTTCCAACCTGCGGCCCAGATAACTGCCTTTCTGGCATTGCTGAGCAAGGCGCATTCAAGGCTGGTCAGCATGTCAGTTCAGGGAATTGCATTCTTCTTACGAAGATGGCTATCTCAGTGGAGGAGCGAGAGTTCATCAACAAGTCCCAAACTTCCTTTGTTTTCTCCCACATCCTCTTGGCTTTCCCACAGTGGAGAAAGAAGTCAAGGATATTATCTTTACATCCAGGCTACCAGCCGGGCCGCCCGGGTCCCGGGTGGCCAGCCCGTGCAAGGACAAGGGAGGATCCCAGCAAAAGAAAAACATAAATTCAAAAAATCCGAAAAAAAACTATGTTATACAGAAAAATAAACTGAACAACTTTTGCCTCAGAGTCACATCAAAATTCTTTACCAAATTTAAAATATAAAATAAAAATTTAATTTTTTTTATTTTTTTTTTTTTTTTAAATCTTTTCGGCCCGGCCAGGCAAGTGACCGCGGGCCACTCTAGTAGCCTAGCTTCACATTCTCCTCTTGCAGCTTTCCCAAGAGTCACCCTGATCACTGCCTTTTTGAGTTTCATCTGAGGAGGGGATCCTCCATGTCGCTCTCTTTCACGAATCTCGATGTCCACGGCCACGTACCTACACCGGCTGCTTACGGACTGTAAAAACCACAAGAGATCAGGACTCAATCTGAAATGACGACCTTGCCAAAATCGAAGGCGGGCATAGGCTGGAGCACGAGGTGAGAAAAGTTTAGCATCGATCCGTTCTCTGTATGTGGCATAAGAGATCGCCTACTTCATGGCGAAGTAGAGACAGCGGATGACGATTGAGGAGCGGAAGAAGAGAGGAGGGTATCTAGATCGTCTGCGTTAGATCCTTCAGAATCCAAAGCAGAAGAAGAAGCCGAACCAAAAGAAGTAGAAGACAAAGGACGAAGATAAAACACGTGTCAGATGATCCATCAAACCGATCAATTACCCGATGCCACAAGCACGAGGTGCTTTAGTGTCTCGTTGGAGGTAGAAGGGGCCGTCCCCATTCAATGATAGAGCGGGAGCAAAATTCCCTTCCAAAAACCAGTTCTATGTTGTAGAACTGGTCCCAACGAATGTTCCACCTGCCCAATGAAGGGGTTTTCAGGGTTCTGACCCCCTTGGGACGTGGAGAGGGTTGTTAGCTACCCTACCATACAATTTTTTTTATTTTTTATTTTTTTGGGATTTTAACCATGGCTATGATCCGGACGTCCGGACAGCCGTCCATACGGTCTGGATTCAGTCCGGACTCCAGACGTCCGGACTGGAAGGTCCGGATCTGCCAAATTTCAACAAAAAAAAGGCAAAAAAGAAAACGGTCCAGGACCCTTCCCCACTGAGGAGCCAAGCCCCCAAAATTCTTTTGGGGGGTTTTCACGCCCGTTTTTTGTTTTTTTGGGGGGTTCTATGTCTATACTAATTTATTTCTAATACCCAAGTAATGAATTATTAATAATTTGTTACTGCAAGGAATATGAGCGAGAGCGATATACAGAAAAACGAGTTACAAAATCACGAAGAAGTCCAGATAGTCATGTAACAAGCTGAGAGCTCAAATGCACCAAGATTCCGTCCAAATAAGAGCAATACAATGAACTTGTGAGCCAATGTTTAGGCCCTCGAGCCACACCAACGCAATATTCAATGTCGCTCCTCTTGTCTGGCGCCCAGCGCCCAGCCTACTCTACTCGTCCTACCTAGCCTATCTAAATTCATGCAACAGGCTCACTTCGACTTTGAAGCCCAATGTACATTACGTCAACCTCAATGACGACCTGCCACATACACCAGGTACGTACTCTCGACTCCCCTCATCACCCTTGTCCACCCACACATGCGCCTCCTCCTGAAGACCACCGTCGCCTCTAGCTGCTGCGCCCTGCAGCCCGGCTATGGCCGCTAGCACCCCGCTGCCCTGCAGCGCCTCCACGTGCCCCAGCCAACATCAGCACAAGCAGACATTTGCGCACTATCGCAGCAGCGTGTCTGCATTGCCTGCCTAGGCCAGAATGCCAGACACTGCCCGGCCTCCTCCCTATATGGGAGCTACTGCGACTACTGGACTGTTTGGGCCTGGCTGTGGAAATTTCTAGTAGTTTTCGGTCGGGCCCAAGTGTCTGCGGCCAGGCCCATTTGTTGAGTTGAGGGCCTGGGCCCTTTTCAGTTAGGCACACCCAGGATTTTCCAGGCTCCGAGTGTTTGTTGTGTTTGCATTGGCCCGCGGGGTGCCTGAGACAACAATGCTGCATTCTCATTGGCCCGCTGCCACTTCGTGATATATCGGCCTCATGTTGCGTGTGTCCAGGGCGCAACCACCCGCGTCCTAGGCTCAATTGCCTGGCGCAGCTGCTTCTTCTGGAAGAGCCCACGGTGAGCCCAGGTTGCACTTCAACGAACTGGCGTGCAACAACTGTCTGAGACTCATATTGGAAAATGCAGAGATAAGGGTCTCTCGTGGATATTCAGGCCCGCCTTCACTTAGGGCGGGCACGAGGCTCACTGGGGGGCCACAGTCCAAGACATATGCATGTTGTCTAGGGCCCCATGAGGACATTCCGAACATTACATCCCCCTTAGCCTCGAAAGTACGCTGAGATGCTTTTATGCAGGTGCCTTCCCCTCCATGAAGTCCATGGAGACACTGTCCCAAACGAGTAGGAATGGGCAAGGGCTCGAGTAACCCAAGCGGAGCTTGAGTTCGCAACTTGTCCCACTCACGAGCTTGACAAGTCTGTACGTACTGCTTAGCTTTGTCTAGCATACCAGGCCACCAGAATCGTTGTACCAGATTTGCACTAGTCTTTTTATAGAGGAAATGTTTCATTGCATCCTGACACTCTCCTAAAAACAAACTACGTAAAATCTCACTAGATGGAACAACTAATCTTTTAAACCCTACATTTTCAAGAAAGAGTAACCCATCCACTATCACAAACTCATCGGATGTGGCCTTGTCTTGGGCCTGACGTTTGCGTATGATGTCCATCATGACAGGGTCTTCCTTGTAGGCTTCCACCATCGACCGAGTTACATCGTCTAGTAAGCCAAATTCAATTATTAACGCACCTAGGTAGTATGCCCTTTGTGACAATGCATCAGCAACCTTGTTGTACTCTCCCTTCACATAATCTAGCTTGAAGTCATATTGGTCTATGACCTCAATCCAGCGTTTGAGTGCATCGGAGAGGACAATTTGTGTCTTGATCCCCTCGAGTGTCTGATGGTCAGTTGTCAAATAGAAGAACCTTCCCAACAGATAGTGTCTCCGATGGACAAGTACTTTGTAGAGGTCGTAGAGTTCCCTTTTATAGGTGGACTTCGCTAACTTTTTTGATAGCATCGTTTTACTCATGCACTCGACCAGTCTCAACTTCTTCGCCTCCTGTTGAGCCAGCACTGCGCCAATGCCATACTGGCTTGCGCCAGTAGTCACAACGAATGGCTTCTCAGGATCGAAACCATGAGAACCTCATGGTGCGTGAGAGCATGCTTCAGTCGCTTGAAAGCAACTTCACACTCGTCGGTCCATTCCCATGGTGTGTCAAGGTGAGTTTGATCAGTCAAAGGGTTGGTCACCGTGCTATAGTTATTTACAAAATTGCGGTAGTAGCTGGTCATCCCTAAGAAAGATCTAACCTCAGTCACAGACTGAGGTCGTGGCCAGTCACGAATGCTAGCCACCTTGGCATCTTCGGGCCTTATCCCATCCGCGGATATCTCATGACCCAAGTACAAGATTTTAGTGCGACCAAATTCGTATTTCTCTAGGTTGATCTTATACTTGTGTTGTCGAAAGAGTGAAAGTACAGTTTTTAGATGTAGAGCATGCTCCTCAACAGTTCTACTAAACATAAGTATGTCGTCGAAGTACATAACGATGAACTTATCTAAGTACTCGTGGAATATCCTATTCATAGCGTGTTGGAATGTACCCGACACATTGCAAATGCCAAAGCGCATCACCACAAACTCGTACAGACCGTACCTGGTCTGAAATGCGTTTTTGTGTTGGTCCTCAAGTCTGATGGCAATTTGATGGTAGCCGGATTTTAAGTTTATCTTAGTAAAGTACTTACATCCCCGTACCTTATCGAGAAGGTCGTCGATGCGCGGTAGAGGCTTTGCGTTCTTCACAGTGATGGCATCGAGGCCTCTATAATCAATGCACATCCTCAAAGTCCCCTCCTTTTTTGAGACAAATAGGACTAGAGAGCCGAAGAGGGAGGTACTAGGCTGTATCCAACCCTTTTCTGTGAGCTCTTTCAATTGTCGCCTAAGTTCATCCAACTCGGCCGATGCCATCCTATAAATTCTTCCTTTGGTTATCTTGCTCCCAATAACTATCTCTATGGCATGGACAACCTCCCGTTCTACAACCCCTGAAGGCTCCTCAAACAGATGAGGGTACTTTGCGACAACATTTTCTATCTCTGGGTGTGTTTTAACGACCACCCCTTTCTCATAGACAAAAACTAAGTACATACCCTCCTCTTGGTTCTGTTTATAATAATTATAGAAGGCTAATGCACACATACACCCGTAAGAGTCTATCCAACTGTGAGCCTTATACTTTGCAGATCCGACTATCCTCCCTTCTGGTAGTACATGCTTAAGCACCTTTCAGTCCTAGTCAAACTGGGGCTTTGCAACCTAGAGGGAGTGCATACCTAACAACATGTCAAATGGCAAGTCGTCGCTAATTAGGAACGAAATCTTATGATTGCGTTCCCCACCTCCATAAGGTGCAGACTGCATCCTTAACGTAGTCGTTAACAACCATGCGCTCTTTGTTGGCTAGGGTAGAGGCTACCGATCTACCCAAGCGTTGCACCCAGTCCAATAGGCGCAGTCTCTCAACGCAGTTGCGACTTATGAAGTTTTGCGTGGAGCCAATGTCTACGAAGGCACCACATTTGCGTCCACCTACACCGACTTCCACAACGAAGTGCTCCCCTCTAGGACCTCTACTTAGTGTCACCCAAGACTTATGAGGGTCCCTTGCCAACCACTCACTTTGCAAGTCTTTTAAGGCCTCAGACACATCCAATGAAAAGAATATCGTTGGGTCACGATGCGTCTGCGGGGTGACTAAAGAATCAATAGCTTCAGCCAACTCTTGAAGTGGGGAGGGTACATCGCCCACTTCAACAAGAGCAGAAGCAGCTACAACTTCTAGTGGCCCGATGTGTTTCCCGAATTGGAACTCGTAGAAGCTCCGCTATGGGAAGAGGAATTCCCCAAACACCTTTGGGAGGTATCTTCTGCGATACCTTCACGTTCTTGCATCTGAACTGTTGATAGCTGTACTCGCAAATAGTGGGTTCGCCACACATCTTGTTCCAGACCCGCCCTCACCCGAGCTGGTGCCTTGTTTGAGTTTTGGGTCTGCCCCTGACTCTTTCGTTGACCGCCCTTGCCGCAGACGTCTGCCTTAACCTTTACAAGAGAGGCGAGGTTGCTACCCTCAACACTATCCTCGTACTCAAACTTTGTACCGTCCACTAAGTCATAATAATCATCGATCTCAATTTGATTACCTTCGGAATCAACCATCATCAATCAATTACCTTTCTTCTTCCACTCCTGTGGACTCTTCTTCTTTCTTCCGTCCCTAGAGGGTTGTTGGGCTCCCCTAGCTTAGCCTTCAAGTCTAGGGCCGCCTTGTTGAAGGAGTCCAGAGTGTGATATTCGATATTGGCCTCACTGACCAACAAGTTCTTGACGTTTGTGAGAAGACATCTCACGTACATGGTCATGAGGACCTGTGGATCACAGCGCACGCTGGGGACGACAACGAGACACTCCACGACAGCGGTAAGCTCACGCGCCGACTTGTACTTCTTAGTATCAAGCCGGGTCAAAGCGCCACTGGGCTGTTGGGCCTGCTGCGGGTTCTGCCATCGCGTTTCTACCAACTCCAATATGGGTCTTAGCCCAATCGTTCATGCGCCTACCGAACCCTTTCGAGGCTACTGATCCATCTAGCCATCGCGCTGTCAAACCCTCAAGATACGAGGTGGCAGTAATCACCTCTTCCTCTAACAACGTCCTCTTTGCCTTGACCCACACTGGGACCGTTCTCAATCAAGTGTCGAGAGCCTCATTGTTACACACTGTGTCACACGGGCCCGGTTAGGCCCGACAGTTAGGGGTTTGGAGGCCGGTCCAAGCCCAACGCCGGACCTTTAAACCGGAAGCGCCATTTGCAGGCCCACCGGTTGGCCTTAGGCCACAATTCGGACCAAACTAGACGGGCAGGCCCAAACGACGTTACTGTTGGGCCTGGCGGCGCTCTTGAGGCTGCCGCCCGCCGGTCTGATCTGAATTGTCACTTTTGACGATTCAGATCACGGCTCGGCCTCGCAAGCATAGAGGCCAGCCTTTCCACACCGGTACTTAGGTATCGGGAGGCCGCCTGTTCAGTCATTCCGGAGCAGCAGCCCTTGGGGGAACGTTGCGCTATTCTTTGTAGAGTGCAGCTACTGCAGTAGCGCGAGGTTAGCGCTAGACTGCAGTTCGGGATAGAGAACAGCGAGATACTTACCTGTGGCGCCATAGCTTCCGCGGACTTCGACTGCAGAAGGCTTCAAGGCACCACCTTGCACCTTGCAGGTAGGGTTTCGGACCAGGACAGGGTAACGAGGACTCTCCTCCTCCCTACCTCGCCATCTCTCCCTCCTCCTCTGCTATCTCCTCCTTCTCCTCTTCTTCTTCTTCTTCTTCAGATTCTTCTCCTCTTCTTCTTCTTCTTCTTCTTCTTCTTCTTCTTCTTCAGACTTCTTCTTCATCTCCTTCTTCTTCAGATTGGAGACTATGATATGGACGAGAGATCAGTGTTGGACTTCGGTGGTAAGAGGCTGTGATACTTACCAGATTTGAGACTTGGAGATTGTTGGGATTGATACTCGGCAGCATCACAGATTGGACACCGGTTACATTAGGACTTTGTACCTCCGACATTGGTGACTTATTGTCCACGACATTTTGATCTTGTTCGATGACATTTTGGACTACCATATCGCTGACCTACTGGATTCTATCTCGGTGACATCTGGCGCTGCCTACATCTCCCACCTCCTTCGTCTCTCCTCCCACCTTTCATCTGTGTATGGTTGTACGGGACCTGAGCATCGTCTATGATTGGCTCAGACCCCACCATCTCACGATTGCTTGTGTGTTGAGTGATATCTGTATGAGTTCAGTCTATGTGAGTCAGTCCATTTATCAGACTTCCGTTGCATACATGCTCATCCTATATTGGTTGATCTTTGGTTTTGCCCATACTTGTTGAAGTATTCACGAGTATGCAACAGTTTTGGTATCGGAGCAGACCAATCAATGGATCTGCTCACAAGGTAATTCTGATTAGGGAATAAATTGCTTTTCGATTTTCCAAATCAGTTCTGCATTACTATCGAGATTCAAGTTGCAAATTTTGTTTTTTCGGTATTCTGTTTTAATTCAGCATTTCTGTTTTAATTCGATATTCCGATTTTCCATTCGGGATTCTGTTTTAATCCGATATCCTTTTTAATTCGGTATTCCGTTTAACTGGTATTCTGTTTAATCCGATTTTCTGTTTTAATTCGGCATTCTGATTTTAATTCAGTATTCTGTTTTAAATCGGTATTCTGTTTTATTTCGGTATTGGAATTAGGGTTGCGATAAAATTTCGGTTTTCATTCAAATTGGGAAATTTGCATGTTTTTGGAACCGTAAAACCATAAATTCCGCAAAATCGCGAGAAATTAGGGTTGGAATCCGAAATTTTCGCGAATTTTTTTTCTTTTCCTAATTGTGAATTTCTGAATACAGACTTTCGCTTCTGAAAATCGGACTTGTTAGGTTTAAATTCCCGAAATTTCACGTTTTTTTTGGAATTTCGAGTGTTTCTCTTTTCGACTATCCAAAAATTTGTTCAGTAGCAGCCTGTTTGGAATCGTTACCTCAGAACTGCAACTTCCGGGTAGTTCACTAACAAAGAGTGAACTCACGGACCATAGGTGATCTCAATAGATACCTAATCTTTCCACAATTTAAAATTCGTTATTTATTATTATTGCAATTATTGATTAATTTTATTGATTATTATTAAGAGATGATTAATTTGTTATTAATCATTAATTAAATTTTATTGATTATTAATGGGTTATTATTTCTTATTACGAATTTTTAAGTTGTTTTGGGGGAAAAGTTCAACTTTTTATTTTGATTAGGTGTCTAGTCCACATTGGGACAGGGACATATGTGAATTGCTTGATTTGTTCTACCCCTATTCCCACCCTCCCTGACCCCGTAATCTGTGACCACCGGGACTTCTCAAGTACCACATCAGCTCGGGCTGATGTCGACGGAACAGGACACCGGGGCACTACCTCGACGCAGTGCCAGGCTCGCAGTTCGTAGCCACTCTCTGGTACCTCCACGAACTAAGTATCAGCAACAGCGACTCAGCAGGCAAACAACTCCAGTGGCATCGAGTACAACAACTACAGTACCGGTTACCACCGAGGCTCTTCCCGCATGTCCGGTCCAAAGGGACCTCGAGCCGTTGTTAGATTACCTTCAGCGGTTACAGGCATTTACGGATGCCGTCGCTACCGCTAAGGCACAGCAGCAGGCAGCAGAGGTTGAACGTCAGCGGCTGGGCAATGAGGCGGCAGCCCAAGCTCAGCGGACTGCTAAGGCTGACGCAGCGGCTCGAGACAGACAAAATGCCGCCAACACTTAGTCCCTGATTCAAAATGAGAATCAGTGGACAACTCTACTCCAAGGCATGATCTTTGTGCCTACGGAAGCACAGGCGGATCCCACACCGGCAGAGGCAGAAAGAAACAACCTGGCTAATTTGATGTTGGGCATGATGAGGGGAGTGATGTGGAATAACACAATGCTGCAGGTACACTTGCTCACAGACCGACAACACAGACAGAAGCAGCAACAAGATACTGCCACTTTAACAGCTGCCGCCTGCGCCACAACACAGTTGTTGAACTCCACTCTCACACGCGTCAACAGCATCGAGGCTCAGGCCTCAGCAGCGCAGGCTGCACGACAGACATGGCGAAGCAGCTCGAGGAGCGCATCGACTATGCCGTTACTATTACCGGCGAACTAGGTGATTTCACTAGTCTGGCCACGATCAGCAGCACGGTGGCCGCCAATAAGACAGACATCACCAAACTGCAGACAAGACCGGACGCCGCTCCAAAGGCATACAAGATGCCGCGCTTCAACATCGGCAAGTTTGCCGACTACAACAAGACGGACACTCTGACATGGCTACCTCTCTATACAGCCCAATGACATGATGAAAGCGCTCTACCTCCAACTCATAGGAGCACAGGCATGGATGGAAGATACCGCAGCCAATTTGAAATGCACCATCGCTCAACTCCACACGCACATTCCGTGGAAGGAGTTCGAGCAAATGTGGTTCACTCGATTCATGGTCCGCAACGTTGTAAAGGCGGCCATGAACGAGGTTTACACCAGCTCACAAGGGAACATGCCAACTCGAGACTGGACGATCAAGTGGCAGAAGATAGTAACCACTCCAAGCTTCGACTTGAGTTTTCCAAACCAGCAATCCGAATTCTTTTCGCGATCGTGCGTAGGACTGCGGACGACACTCGGCAACGAGTACGACTATGCCTCATTCCACGTTATTCTGGATCGTGCGAACCTGGTCATCCAAACGGATGACAAGGCTGCTAACGAACGGCAGTCCCAACCGCATGCCGTGATTTCTGACGAATCAATCAATCTCCACGCTGCAGCAGCATCCTCGAGTGATGGAGTTACCGCAGCGCTCCCGCTGTCTCTTATACACATCTAGATGTGTATAAGAGACAGGTGCGTAGGACTGCGGACGACACTCGGCAACGAGTACGACTATGCCTCATTCCACGTTATTCTGGATCGTGCGAACCTGGTCATCCAAACGGATGACAAGGCTGCTAACGAACGGCAGTCCCAACCGCATGCCGTGATTTCTGACGAATCAATCAATCTCCACGCTGCAGCAGCATCCTCGAGTGATGGAGTTACCGCAGCGCTCCCGTCGAAGCGTCCCAAGAGAGTTCGGAAGAACAAGGCGACACAAGAGACGACATCGACGGGAACTGGGCAGCAACCATGGATGGCATACAACATAACCAAGGAAGTATTTGACCTGCGTCAATGGTACAGATATTGCCTATGATACAATAGTGTCAACCACACTACGGCACAATGCTCGGACAAGGGCAAGGCACGCGTACCCCGTCCAACTAACTCAGGAAACTGAGTTACGCAAGGAGAGGGGCGACGCCTCTCCTCACTCCGCCGGAACCGGTTGCCTTGCTAGCAACCGATATCACTATCGGGGAGCATGCGTTAGTCGCTGATTCTCGTGCTATGTACGAGGATTATGCCGCCCAGCTGGTACCACCATTATACCAGCCTAGCCACGTACACTTAGATAGCGTATGCGCAGCCTGTACACCGTCGACAAGTGAATCGGTCAGTTCGCCACTGATTTCCGAGGACTCGACGGCGTGGTCAAGACTTGAGGAACTTGACCCGCTTACGAGAAAGGACTTCGCTTGGATACCTCTACCCTCGACCAGAACCTTGCCAAGGCCGCATTGTAACGCCTTGATAACAAATCTACGCTCCTATTTGCACGCTGCAATACCAGCTCCGCTGACGGACGACGGAGTAGCGGTTGTCGATCTCCGCTCCTATCTTGCAAAGATTGACCGCGAGTATGCCACCCAAAGATACACCGAGACCGACGCGCCTTTACTCTATATCCGCATTCAAATCGGAAAGGCAACTTGCAGTGCCTTGATTGATTGCGGAGCATCTCGCAATTTCATGAGCCAAGCCTTTATGGCCCGCGCARGCCTTGGCCCGCGCGTTCGAAGGAAGACGCAACCTACGCAAGTGACACTCGCGGACGGCCGCACGCAAAAGTCGATTGACCGATGCATTGGCAGCGTCCCGGTATACTTCGTGCTCCTTGCGTGCCAGCCGGTGTCTTTTGACATGCTCGACACCAAGTTTGACATGATTTTCGACATGTCCTGGTTGCGTAGCGCTGATCATCCGGTGAACTTTCATGACTGAACCGTTCACGTCCGTGATCGGAACGGAGTGTTAGTCCCATATACGGTCGCGACCCCTCATACTTCGATTGCTTGTCACGTGGTTTTCGTTCCGAGAATTCACGGCGCCATAGCTCGGAACGACGTAGAGGAGATTGGTCTTGTGTTTCTACATGCTCTCCCCTCGTCGGACGGTCCAGCCGCGTCACCGCCGGACCCACGCATTACTCACCTCTTGGACGGGTATGGAGACATCTTCGAGGCTCCCACCGGAACGGTTCCGGATCGGCCCATACGTCACGGGATCACTCTCAAGGCAGGTGCCGTCCCTCCGTGTGGATGCATTTACCGCATGAGCGAAGAGGAACTCGAAGTGCTTCGCGCACAACTCGATGACCTTCTCGACAAGGGCTGGATTCGCCCTAGTTGTTCGCGATACGGTGCGGCAGTTCTCTTCGTCCGGAAGAAGAACAAGGACCTACGGCTGTGCATTGACTATCGAAAACTTAATGCACAAACTGTTAAGAACGCCGGCCCTCTCCCTCGGATTGATGATCTCCTCGAGCGATTGGGCGGCACAACGTACTTCTCGAAGTTGAAGTCGGGTTACCAGCAGATTGAAATCCAGCCTCAAGATCGGTACAAAACCGCCTTCAAACCGCGGTATGGGCATTTTGAGTGGGTCGTGATGCCATTTGGACTCACCAATGCCCCTACAACTTTCCAAGCAGCCATGACAACGGAGTTCCGAGACTTGCTCGATCGTTCCGTCCTCATCTACCTCGATGATATCTTGGTCTATAGCAGGACGCTTGACGAGCACCTCGTACACCTCCGTGTGGTGTTGGATCGTTTGCGAGCAGCCAAGTACAAAGCCAACCGCGACAAGTGCGAATTCGCCAAGCAAGAGCTTAAGTACTTGGGCCATTATGTGACGCTGAAAGGCATTTGTCCCTTAGCGGACTAGATCCAAGCCATCCTGGATTGGCCGAAACCCCGTTGCACGACGGACGTACGCTCTTTCATGGGATTGGCTGGATATTATCAGCGCTTCGTCGAATCTTACTCCAAAGTGGCAGCTCCTTTGTCGAGACTTCCGTCCCCGAAGGCACCATTCGAGTTCGACGATGCAGCTCGTGGCGCGTTCAATACGTTGAAGGCGGCGATGCAAAATGCACCGGCCCTCGGTATCTATGATCCCACCCTACCCACCCAAGTGACTACGGATGCTTCCGGGTACGGTATTGGTGCGGTATTGGAACAATGCCACACGGATGGTTGGCACCCGATCGAGTACTTCTCCCAAAAAGTGCCTCCCATCAACACTCTCGACGACGCTAGGAAGAAAGAGTTACTCGCGTTTGTCACCGTTCTCAAACGGTGGCGCCACTTTCTTCTCGGTCGTCGACGTTTTAGATGGAACACGGACAACAATCCGTTGACCTTCTACAAAACGCAGGACACGGTCACTAGCACGATTGGTCGATGGATGTATTACATTGACCAGTTCGACTTTGAGCCGTGCCACATTCCCGGTGCCGCCAATCGAGCAGCGGACGCCCTCTCACGACGGCCCGATCTCTGTGCCCTTGTGACCACGACGTTCGACCTCGACGACGATCAGCAACAGCATTTCGTCAACGGCTACAAGTCCGATCCGACGTACTCTACGCTTTATGCTGATCTCTCATCTGATCACCCGTCGACTGGTCATTATCGTATCTCCGATGGTTTCCTACTCCTTCACACGAGAGGAAAGGACTTGTTGGTGGTGCCCCAAGATCGCATCTTACAGACTCGTCTTCTCGGCGAATTCCATGACGGACGACTTTCGGCACACCTTGGCGTAAACCGTACATAGGCTCGCCTCCGCCAACGTTTTCACTGGCCAGACGTCCTTCACGACGTCACGAGGTACATTGAGTCATGCGCAGTTTGCCATCGTAACAAAGGTCGATCTACAGTCCCTTATGGCAAACCGAAACCGATGTCGATTCCTGAGGCACCACAACTCTCCACTGCTATGGATGTTACAGGCCCGTTCCCCCGCGATCGCCTCGGTCATAACGACATTCTCACGGTCGTTGACTGTTTGAGCAAGTACGCTCGTTTTCTTCCATGCAAGTATCGTGCTACAGCCCCCGAGCTCGCTCGACTCTTGCACACCGGCTGGATTACATGCCACGGTGTTCCGGAAGATATTGTGAGCAACAGAGACACTCGCTTCATGCCTGCATTTTGGACTTCCCTCATGACGGAGTCCGGTTCGACTATGAAGCCGAGTTCCGCACGGCAGCCACAGACGGATGGACAGTCGGAACGAGCGCATCAAACTGCTCAAATGATGTTACGTACACTCATCCGTCCCGACCAGAAAGATTGGGTTGACCGGCTTCCCGACATCGAGTTCGCCTATAATACTTCGGTGCATCCGGCAATCTGCCTCACTCCATTTGAGTTACATCACGGTGGAGAGAAGGCTCGAGTCTTCGCCGATCTTCTTCTACCACAGGCCGCCGACATAGACGTCGCTTGCTCTCCCGCTTCCATTCAGAAGTATCGGGACTTGCTGATCAAAGCCCGCGCGAACATGCAAAAGGCTCAAATCCGCATGCAGCAGCAAGCCAACCGACGTCGACTCCCATATCCTTTCCGCGAGGGAGACCTTGTTTGGGTCCTCGCCGAGGAATTCGCCCTCGAGCTGGGCGTCTCGCACAAACTCCTCCCGAAATGGTTTGGACCATGGAAGATAGTTTCTGCAGCACGCGATGACCCTGCAGGTCCTTCCTTTGTGATTGCCATTCCACCGCACCTCTGTGTGCATCCCGTCTTCCATGCGTCGAAGCTGGCCATCTACACGACACCATCCGCAGACGAGTTCCCAGGCTGATGATCACAGGATCCGCCCTCTATGGACGGCCATCAGGAAGTTGACCGTGTCATCAGGCACCGCAAGTTTGGCAACAAGCCAATGCAATACCAAGTCCCTTTCAAGCAATGTGACCCGGATGACACTCGTTGGATCTCCCGCGCAGATTTACAGGCATCTGCACCTCTCATCTTCTCCGACTACGGGACTCGAAGACTTGCCAAGGACAAAGCTCGTCCCACCCAACCCAACCCGGTATCGGACAGACAACTTCGCCCTCGCAGGTAGCTCGGTCTTTTAAGGGGGGGAGTGTGTTACACACTGTGTCACACGGGCCCGGTTAGGCCCGACAGCTAGGGGTTTGGAGGCCGGTCCAGGCCCAGGGCCGGACCTTTAAACCGGAAGCGCCATTTGCAGGCCCACCGGTTGGCCTTTAGGCCACATTTCAGACCAGACCAGACGGGCAGGGCCAAACGACGTTACCGTTGGGCCTGGCGGCGCTCTTGAGGCTGCCGCCCGCCGGTCTGATCTGAATCGTCACTTTCGACGATTCAGATCACGCCTCGGCCTCGCAGCATAGAGGTCGGCCTTTCCACACCGGTACTTAGGTACCTGGAGGCCGCCTGTTCGGTCATTCTGGAGCAGCAACCCTTGGGGGAACGCTGCGCTATTCTGTGTAGAGCGCAGCGCTACTGCAGTAGTGCGAGGTTAGCGCTAGACTGCAGTTCGGGATAGAGAACAGCGAGATACTTACCTGGTACTTACCTATGGTGCCATAAATTTCGCGGACTTCGACTGCAGAAGGCTTCAAGGCACCACCTTGCACCTTGCAGGTAGGGTTTCGGACCAGGACAGGGTAACGAGGACTCTCCTCCTCCTTACCTCGCCATCTCTCCCTCCTCCGCAACATGGTTTTCTGTATATCGTTCACACTTATATTCCTTGCATAAGTATGGTCTTGACATAAATGAATAAAAAGCCACAATTTATTTTATTTAATTTTTAATAAAATACACAACCTCTCAGTTCTCGACTCTTACCATTCTGGGGAGCAACAGTCCGGTTCCTATTCCCCCGGCAAGTCAAAGGTGAATACAGAAAAGACGCACACAGATCCTCCCTATTATGGCTGAGAGGCTCGAGTGGACGACATTGATTACTTCCCTAGGGAGGGATGTACCAGCCCTCACCCTTGCCTAAGTTGGCCTATGTTCGCTATCTCTTGGTTCTACGACTCTCCTCACTCCTAGTTCCTCTCAATTGCGTGTTGTCAGATTCACAAGGAAGCTAGAGCAGGTGCGGGGAGCTGGCAACTAACGGTTTGTTGTAGCTTGTTGTACCTAAAAAAGAGACCTGTTCCTATAGATCGGCCAAAACCTGACCTGTCCTTTTGTGAAACTCCAGGGACTGTTCAAACATAAAAACTGATCTTTCTGTAGGTTTCTATTTCGTTGTCCAGGCTTTCCTGTTTTACCCCAACTTTTGTAGACCAGCATGTTCTAGGGTTTTGAGACTCCAATATGAAATTCCTAAACCCTAAACCCTAAAGAGTTTTACCGAGTATCTCTAACTCGCTTGATCTTTTAACTTTCCATCGGAGGGATGAACCATCCCGCACCCCTGCCTAATTTAGCCTGGTCTACTAAACTGCCTCTCCCGAGTAGTTGACTAGAGCTCGAGTTATCTCGTGGTTAATAACACATTTGATTTGAGATTTGTCTTGCTTCAATCTGCTCTAGCCTTTAGTTGATCGAAGTTATTACCGTTACCAAATTTGTAGGAAGCACTTATTGCCATAGATTTTTAAAGATTGGCTAGTAGGATTTCTCCATGTATGGAGGGTGGCCAAATCCGAATTGGGGATTATATTAGGCTGAGATAACGATCGGTTCGGGACGTTTTCTTCTTTGGTCTATTGCTTAGTCACTGCCAATCCGTTCTCATTCCAACAAGTATGTTTGCTGAATAAAAATGTATTGATGCCATTATGATGTTAATTGTTCCACATAAGATGTACAAGTGATGCCATTATGTAGTCACTGTCAATCTGTTATGTGCACACATTTCTAGGCGTTTGGACTTGTTGCCGTTTTGCGAGGGAATGGTTGTAGCCTGTTTTGAATCCAATCGTGCTCCATTGAGAAACCTTGTCTTCCTATTCCCCTTATCCTCTTCTCCTATTCTGCTACAACTTCTTCGCCTTCTTCCCTTACGACTTTCCTTCTGCACCTTTCTCTTGAAGGATCCCATTCCCTAGTTAGCCCTTCCTCTGAGCAACGATTGTGCCTCTGAAAGGTGCTATACATGTACTTTTCGTTCGCTACTCCTCTTTTCCCTTCCCCTCCCATCCCCTCCCGCCTGCCCCCTCCTCCTCACTTGTCTTTCTCCCTTTCTCTCCTTCTGTACGTCCCTAATCCATTTATTCCCAGCTGAAGCACTTTGACGAATTCACACAAATGGGATGAATCTTATCATGGGATTTACACTGTCTGATCACAATGCATGTTTCCTCCATTGGCTGCGGATTCAATGAAAGTTCTCCCCACTGTTGTGTTTGGATGG